CTTGTCATGATTATTTGTTTATTTATTTCCTTATCTATTGTACATTTGTCAGCTAAGAAGCTGATCATGCGTACTGATTCCCTGATTTGCCGTCTTTGGAGAGTTTCAGAAATCTAGCGGTGAATTTCTATCAAATCGGCGACAATGATCGCGATGGCCATAAAATCAGCGAGAAATGGCCTCGGTGAAAGTGTAAATCTTCAGTGCAATGCTAATTTCATGTCCGTTTCCAGTTCTCATAGGATAGGAATCCGAGCGATCAGCTGAGAAGTCGTTTTCAAGTGGAGGCGGTAGGAGGGAAAAGAGGTGGGAGGGGGGGGGGAGGGGCTGAAGTCACTGGTGCTTGGTTGCTGTTGTCCATAACTAAACGAGGTAATTTATACGAGGATATTACCCCACCACATCCCTTGAGTACGTGCACTCTAGTGTAAGCATTGGTCGAGAGTGCGTGAAAAAGTAAAGTACGAGTAAGAGTAGTGATTTTCAAGCAGAGGCTGATGATGTAGTCAGAAGCTTCGTGGCCCTTTGGATTTCCATCAATATCACACCTTTCTGGAAAAGTTGGACCTTTATGCGCAAATCGTTATAAGGCGAAAAAAAAACCACGAATTGTGTGTGTTGTGTGTGTAGGGGGGGGGGGTGGGAGAGGGAGGAGGTTGTGCTCAATGTCAGCCCGCTTTTTAGAGAATTCGAGCTTCAGCTGAGAGCGCCGACTTTTGCCACGTTCAAGGGGTAGCCTAGAAGTGGTCTGGCGGTAAGTGGCGCCGATTGCCACACGGTCTTCAGGACAAGTCCAGGAACTTCCCTCAGGCTACCTTACCTTCCAAACCGTACCTTCCTCCCGATAGCAAGTTAATTTGTGCCAGACTCCTCTAATACGGTCCGAAGAAGCTGACTACTACATCCAAAAACCTCTGCAATTCCCCACCGTGTAGGCTTAATTGTATTCAGAAGTTCATTAAGATTCTGAACGACAGTGCCTGGAGCAAAAAGGGGTCAATCAATGTCGAGAGCCCCTAGAAAAAGGTTCATATGTTTCAGTACTGCATTAACCTTTAGTTTTCTTACCTGGAATGTGGTAGACGTGTTGTTTCTACATGGAAAAAAATTAACTCGAAAAACTGCGGTTACGACTTAAAGGCAAAGTCCGCGATCATCCGCCGCCATAGATAGTCGATTACGGGTTTGCATATAGACGACAAGGTACTGAATAGTTTATCGATAAGCAAAAGAAGGACAAACATGAAAAACCGCATACTAATCATTACTTCAATCCAGAATGTACGTGTCAACTTAACTCCATCTCCATCGCCCCCATGCGCACTGCTGATTCCTCGATAAAACTCTACGACCGTACAAGTGACGATTTTTATGCTTTTTCTTCCGGCAGCTTACTTTTTCATTGAAGTGAGCCTTGAGGTAGTCCGGAGTCGGAGTCCGGGACCGGTGCCTTCAAACCACGCACATCGACCGTCGTTGCTTCGTTAGGGACGGGATAACCATCTCAGCTAGCGCCGTGCTTAAACAATATACAGGGGGGGCCCAAAAAAAGTCATTCCGGCCGAGTCACATATGAGCGAAGTTTTCGCAGCCCAGACAGAGGAAGTGGATATGAGTACCAGGGCGGAAGATACCCAAGATCTTCCTCTATAAGCAGAGCTGGCTGTCGCCACTTCACTCTTTTATGTACACCAAATAATGAAGTCTATCTCCAAAGGGCGTTCTCGCACTCAGTCGCGGCCTGAGTGGAGAACGCCTTTGGAATTCACGGGCCTCCAAACAGCTGCGAAACTTCTTGAATGGAATCACCCATGGATAGCTACCTGGAGACGGAACTACCTCTTGATCCTGGCAAGACCTCCAAACATCGAGCAGCTCCGGCAACGTCGCTACGGTCCAGGACATCATCTTCACCCCATTCACCAAGGCGCGGGTTGATGGTGTGGACCGGCCGTACCTGGAATGGATGAACCGATATTTTCTTCGTGGGCCCCAGACTGAGGGTGTGCGCTGGTGGCTACATCGAGCAACTCGAGGAGAATATCCCATCTTCAATTTCGTCGCCCGTACTTTCTTGAACTTTGTGGCTGCTACAGTGGAAATTGGGTGATAACACATGGAATGGATGGGTTTGGACAACTCTCTGCCTACTTGATGGAAGGGTGTTTCCGTGATGAAAGAAGATTGCCTTAAAGTATGTGTCCTGACCTGAATCCACTCAATTACCTAGTTCGGGCGGAGTTGAATAGGGTGGTCTACGGTGGCGGAGAAATCGACTACCTCGCTCAACTCCGGTACCCACTCACTTTCCGCGACCAGGCAAAATCTCCCGATGGCGCTCCTCCAGAAGGCTGTGGCGGAGTATCATTATAGTATTTAATGTGCTCTTTAATATGGTAGTAAAAATGTCCGATAAAAATTTAATAAAGTGTAACTTATAGCGCTTGAAAGTCCATGAGGCAAAATGACTTATTTACTTGGACCAACCCCCCTCGGTATATCGCAAGGACGCCTACCGCAACGCTTCGATAAACATTGTAGAAAATTAGCAGCAGAACATTTCGAAAATTTATGTTCAAGAGGAGAAATCCATACAGCTGTGGGTATACAGATGAGGAAACACTGCTGAATGTCACACAGATAAATGCATAAGAATTGTTACAACAGCTCCAGGGAACCAGAGCCAGGAATAAGCTATGAAGGAAAACTTGATTTTAACCCCGTTTCCATCATAAGTCAGCAAGATGCAAATCAATACACAGTTTTGCTAGTGTGTCGCTCATGCAAAAAAAAAAAAACAAAACCATAACTGCTCGAACGAATCTCACCTTTAGGACCACCTCCTCGGCGGTAGTTTCGGCGTCCTCATCGGACATCACAAATGCAGCTTCGCCTTGTTGTACCTTTCGGCCTTTTGGCGCCCAGCACACTAGTATCAGAAACAGAATAGAAACCTGATGAAAATAGAATCTGGACGAGTTTCGTGCAGCCGGCGCAGCCGTAGACCGACAACATTACATGACATCACCATGGCAACTAGTACATCACCACCAGTGAATTCATTTGCAGTGTTCGTGCAAGCCCCTCAAACGTTGTGCGTTACGGGAGGTCTATCACGTTGAAAATGAACTTATTTATAGTCTGAGGTCGGTGACTGAACAACTTGTAGCAGGGGAGTGCGGGGGAGTAACCTGACTGAGATCGAGGGGAGCGGTGGACACTGTTAGAAAGAGGTTCTGTGGTCAGATAGCCTAATAAAAAGAAAGAACTATTCTTCTACAAATCATCCGTCCGCAATGGTGCGCCTTTCCTTAGGACTAAGCAATTCCCCAATTTCCTCGCTTCGTAGTCATATTTGCACTTTTGTAGGATCCTGATTTTTAACGGGTGATGTTCCTGCAATCAACAGCTCGACGGTGGCTTTCCGTAAGAATTAGAAATGTCATCAGTGATCGGTGGGGCTTGTCTTAAAGGTATGCCCCTGTTCAACAATGAGTTGTGCGGCTCACGTTTCAATGACAAGGCAGTAAGTGATCCAGCAGTGAAGGCGAATGCTGGGGAAACCCGCCGGAAATGCTTCCATATAAAACCTCACGCTGTGGCGCGCTTGTATGTGTATAAGGTGGAGGGCGTGGTCGGACGAGCTCTCACTTGTTGGTGCCGGCTCCTCTGCCTTATCACGTCACTCTCACCATTCGATATGGAATTAGTAGCGTAACAACCGCACTAACAGGTAACAATTAAGAATGGAAGTTAGGCGTCATTGCATTCACCGGGCAGAGCCGTGGCAGATGCCCGGCGCCCCCACTGTAGAGCAGCACCGAAACCGATAAAGAACCTACTTAGGGCATCGTGACATCCGCAAGGGCTGCGTGGCTCTTTTCAGAGGGGCACCCTTGAAACACCTTACCAAGATTGAACATGGGGGTCAGCACCCCTATCGAAACACGTCACAGTCTGGAGACGCAGTGTCAGTTAGGCCGCGCTCATACTTCACGGCAGCGTCCACCAGCGACAATCCAGCTTTTCGAGGGACCAGGAAAGGATGGATGTCGATCTAGAGAATGTCTGTGTCTACCAGCGACCACAGGCGTCCAGCAGCGTCCAGGAGTACAGTATTGTATAGATAGCAGGCACACGCCACAATGTCACGACGCCTGATCCAGCTATCTCCTCCCTCCTACTTCCCCATACACTGTCAGCAAGCAGCCACCTTCGCCACCTTCATATTCCCCCATACGTTCTACTCCTGGTCGCTGGTGGACGCGGCCGCAAAGTACGAGCGTACCCCAGGGCACATCGTTGTTGGGGAATCTCCAACAGGGGTGGGGGGTCGTATTTACTTTGTGGCCTTGTGGGAGTGGTGAGAGTTGGTGGTTGGTCTTTTCGTAGATTTTTCTGTTTTCGTTTCATGTGCTATATACCTCGCCCAGGCCGCCACTGCTCGAAAGCTTGATTCGATGAGGAGGGATGCAAAGCGGCCGAGGTGGGGGAAGGGTTGTGCCAACACCAAAAAAAGAGGGGGGGGGAGTCCGTAGTCAGCAGACTCGACTTACCAATTCCGAACGCATTAATGTGCCCTGGCGTAACCTTTGGCAGCGGGCCCCGCGCGTACAAGCACTCGCGTTCCGACAGAATGCTATTCAGCGTCTAGAGCTCTGTTGACTTTGAACTGAACCGACACAGAAGCGCGCACAAGCCGATGCGGTGCACATTTGGCAGATAGTCGCACACGGACAAACAAGTGCCACACATCAAGCTGTAAGCTGGCACCACTTTTCGTACCAGTTGAGTGTGGTAGTAATTGTGACTGGTCTGCTATGATGAAAGACTATCACCGATGCCGAGTGAATGTTGCTGGGTATCGTGGCGATGTCGAAGGGCCTTTTCATGCACACGCTTTTATATAAAACTACCTATTCCTCTTCATAAATCAGGGCACTTAATATGGTGTTTGTATTGTAGCGCCATGATCAGGGATAACACAGAGCGCTGCTTCGCGGTCGCAAGTACATCCTGTACACATACAGTCGTAATCCATTTCGCACGGCAGTCCTACCTCATAGATGAGGCCTTCAACATAGTTGCCTCTGAAAATTCTTTTTTAGAAAACCTTGTAATACGGACACCCTCAGGTCCGAAATAACACTCACGTCCACTTGTACTGGCAGTCTACTAACGTCATATTACCGCAATACTGCACTCCACATCCAATCTTATGTGTTGATTGCCACATCATCTAAAGAAAGACCCATGCCTCTGTTAAAACCTGGACATCGCTACATGGTATCTGTGATATTACCTGAGTGTAGTTACCAGCACCGTTGTTGTAATCCTCTCTGGTGAAAACATTCTTCGGTCCTATAGTGAATTTTTTCAAAGCGTCGAACCAAAAAGCTGTACTCTGAGAAGCAATCAGCGTGTCATTTTGGCTGATGTACTTCAACCACGGTCATAGTAACTCAACCTCTTCTGCAGCATCAACTTTGTCCAAGGTCGTATTTAAACTCATCCATATGTTTTCTCCTAGACCCCATCTGTCTTCCCATGGAGATGATTGGTACTGACATTGTTTCAACCACGTCATGGCGCTTTGTTCAACATCGCAGTCGTATTCCTATAGCGAAGAACTGTATGAGCTCTCTTGCACTGGATTTCTACGGCCCCTTTCAATAACGTTTCTTGACTCGTCCTTTCAAAAAGCAGAGGAGAGACGTTAGGCTACGTTCATACTTTGCGTCAGCATGCACTAAAGTTTTAGCATTTCGGGCATACGCCAACGCCAGCGACTAGGAAAACATAGATATCGATGTAGCGCACGCCAGTGTGTAACCGTCCAACATACGTCCAGGAGTGGAGAGTGTGGGGAAGTAGGAGGGTACCAGACGGCTAGATTAGGCGTCGCGTGAAATTGCTTTGTGTGCAACCGCACCGCACAACTGCACTGTACATCAAGTCTGCATAATTGTGTACTGTAGCAGTTGCACAGTGCGGTTGCACAAGCCGCAATTTCACGACGCCTAATGGAGCAGGCAGCTACCCTCCTACTCCCCATACTCTCCACTCCCGAAGGCTGGCATACGCTAGATCGATACCTACACACTTCTAGTAGCTGGCGCAGGTGCAAGGCTTAAGGGGACATGTGCAAGAGAACCATCAATTGTCAGTCGCACGCGACCATGGGAGCAACGTTTCCTTAATTTGCACTACCCTTTCGATTTAGCATCGGATTTCATGTAGACAAGGACATGGTAGACACTTATGTCTATTTTTGGTCATACATTGTCTATTCTCGACCAATACCACCTGAAATCGTCGTCATTAGCAGGCGCGACGTCGCACGCGACGCCCACTGGCGCGGCGACTTACGATTCTCTTGCCACACCACGCACAAGTGGCTCGCATGCGCTGACACAGTATGAACGCAGCCTTACTGTGTTTGAAAAGGAAGGCTCAGCATACCAGTCTTGGCATTCTTGCAGCAGGGGGAGTAGACTTTCGTCCATTTGAAGCCAGCCCTTTAGCAACGAGGGTCCTGAAGTGACGGTATAATCGGCTTTTGTTACACCCTTCATTGCAATCCGAGTGAGAAAACAATACCGATATCTGTTGTGTTCGTCAAGGAACTTCTGTCTCACTTCATCGGTCATACCGTTGGTAAAGGTTACAATGTGCTGAAAAAGTTGTTTCACAATGATAGAAATTCTATGGCGACATAAATGGCGCAACGCAGTAACCTGGCTTAGCCTTTGGAGCTTTAGGTTGCGGGGTTGGTTTTGGTCCTGCTGGCGGGATGCAAAGAGCTGCCTCTACATCACAAGTGCAGTTTTTGCACTCGCATTGAGCATCTGTTGTGCAAGGCTCTCCTACGTCGTAGATCATCTCATTAATGAAGTTTCCTCTAGAAATTGATTTTTTTTTCGAGCAGAGCTGTTAAGAAGGAGCGTCCAGACTTCGCGTCGACGTCCAGACTTCGCGTCGACGCGCTACAACTGCAACAGCGCTCCGATTTGTTGCGAACGCTGCCACAGACGGCCAGTACTGATCGATACTAGTCTGCGTGGCGAGGCACCACATAGGCTGCGTTCGTACTTTGAAGCAGCGCTCGTCAGCGTCCAACAGCGTCCACTAGCGTTTCGAGCATCCCACAGCGTCAGCTTCTAGGAAAGTATAAATATCGATTTAGCACTTGCAGCGCCCACCAGCGACCGGAAGTAGAGAGCTGGGGAAGTATAAGGGTAGCAAACAGCTGGATTAGGCGTCGTGAAATTGCGGCGTGTGCAACCGCACCGCACAACTGCTAAAGCACAGAATTATGCAATTTAATGTACGGTGTAGTGTAGTACGGTGCGGTTGCACACGCCGCAATTTCACGACGTATATTCAGCTGTTTGCTACCCTCCTACTTCCCCATACTCTCTACATCCGCTCACTGATGAGCGTTGGTCTACGCTGGCAGACGATAGATCTGAAGCTATGCGCCCTAGCCGTCGAGACGCTGGCAGACGCTGGTGGCGCTTGCAGACGTTGGCAGAGTTTAGATTGTTAGTCATACTTAGTCGCTGACGTTGCCGGGCGCTCGGAACGCTAGTGGACGCTGGCAGGCGCTGCTGCGAAGTATGAACGCAGCCATGCCATCCTGTTCCCCAAACTCTCTCGAAAGTTAAGCGGGCGAGGCCACCGATTCCCGTTCGCGGCTGCGTTCGCAGACGGGAATGATCGGTGCCGGCCATCTGCGGCTGCGCTCGCATATATAGCTTTGGAGCGTTGTTGCAATTGTAGCGCGGCCATGGGGGTCATCGCAAAGCCTGAGTGCTGCCAAAGTAAGTGCTACTAGCGGTTAGATTCACTTACAGAGGGCTGTATTGACACACCGCGTATGTCATTTCAGGACACCACATTATAGCACATCCAAGTTTATAGCTA